AGGCAAAAGGTATTACTAGTTATAAAGACACACTTGAGAATATATGAAGTACATTCAACCAAAAGATTTAATGTTTAAATCTATATGCATCTAATTACATAGTCTCAAAATATCTAAAGCAAAAGCCAACAGAACATGATGAAACAGACAAATCCATGATCCTGCTGGGAGGTTACACACACAGCTCTGGGGGACATGTAAGAAATGACTATAATCTTACACAACGTTTCCCAAAAAAAGAAGAAAATGAGAAACATTTCCAAACTCTTGTGATGAGGACAAGAAAACTCTAATACCAAAACCATAACAAGGATGAAATTACAGACCATTTCACTCATGAACACAGATGCTAAACTCCTAAACAAAACAACTAACTGAATCTAGTAATACATAAAAAAGGATAATACATCATGATCAAGATGGGTTTATTCCAGGAGTGAGAAGTCACTTTAATATTTGAAAATCAATGCTGATTCACCACAAAATAAATCATAATTTTCTCAGAGGATACATGAAAGTAATTTAGTAAAACTCAATATGCATGCACAATTTTTTTTTGACTCTTAGCAAACTAGTAATAGAAGGGTAGTTCCTTAATCTGAAAAAGCCTATCTATTTTTTTTAAAGGCATACTGTTGAAAGCCTGCCCTCTGAGACTAGGAGAAAGGTAAGGCTGCCACTCTGGGCACCTCTTTCCAGGATTGTTCTTGGAGTCCAAGCTAGCACAGGAAGCAAACACACACACACACACACACACACACACACACCTGGTAAAGGTTAAGAAGGAAGACAACTCATTACATGTAAATAATACTGTGTAAGTAGAAAATTCAACAGAACCTACCAATAAACTATCAGAATTAGTAAGTGAATATAGAAAGATTGCTAGATAAAAAGTCAGCAATCAAGAATCAATTGTATTACTATATACTAACAAGTAACAAAAGATGTTAAAATGACATTTATAATAGCGTCAAATCAAATACCCAGGGATATGAACAAAATATGTACAATATTTCTGCACAGAAAACCACAAAATCAAGGGAAAAAAATTAAGACCTAAAAAAATAAGGAAATTCACCATTTTTGTTGGGAAACTGTAAAGATACCAATTGTTCCCAAATTAATCCATAGGTTTAAAGCAATCATAGTCAAAATCCCACTCTTTATTTTGGTGAAAACTGACGAGTTAATTCTAAAATTCACTATAAATACAAACGATTTTAAATGGCCAACCCCTTTTAAAGATGGCAGAAAGGCTTGACCTTCCCAATACCAAGACTTACTGTCACACCACAGTAATGAAGGGTGACACTGGAACAAAAATAGACAAGTGGACCTCTGGAGTCTAGTCCAGGTAGGTGAGAGATCCAGGTGTGAAAATACACCACCAGTAAAACTTCTAGATCTAGAAGACAATATAAGAGAGTATCTTCATAACGTCAGAATAGGGGAATTTTTCTTAAGCCACAAAAAAGCATTATCCATAAAGGAAAAGATAAATTTGTGTATATTACAACTGAGCACTTCTTTTTATCAGATGACCCCACAGAGAGTGAAAAGGGAGACTACAGGACTCATTGCCAGAGTCCATAAAGAACTCTAGCTTGATAAGAAGGCAGGCCAGCATAAAAATGAGCACGGGTCTTGCACAGGCGCAACATAAAAAGATGTCATCTTGCACATTATAAAAATCGTTTGTCATCAGAGAGACGCAAAGTAAAGCCACAGTGAAACACCATTACAGTCTCACTCCCAGCAGTGCTTAAACTAAAAAGACTGACAAATACGGGGGTTGAGGACATTGAGCATCTACTGCCTTCCTCCACTGCTGGGGGGAATGCAGAATGATGCAGCCCCTTGAGGGTGCAGGTTGGCAGCATCTCCTTGCACTTTTTAACAGATCCCCAGGGGCCTCAGGAAAGCCTTTCTTTACCAGGCTCAGGTCAGACACCTCAAGGTCCTGCTAGAGCAACTAAGAAAATATACATATTTTAACATCTCTGAAGTTGTGATGCACCTGAATCCATTTTCCCTCGGTTCACTCAACATTTCAGACTTGACTAGTGCCCTCTCTTTCGTGGCACTTTGGCTTAGTTGGTAACTACACTGTCTGCTAAATGCCTCCCACGCTGGACTGGAAGCTTCAGGAAAACAGACTATCGTCCTTCCCTGCTGCAACCCCTAAAACTGGAATTGCCAGGTCAAAAGGCACGCACATTTTTCAGTTACTTTTAATTACACGACTCACGAACACATCTCTATTCTAAAGTGCAGCAATATATTGCACAAACCCTCCCCGTCCCGCTCCCTCCTTGAAGCTAGCCACTGTCAGCAGTTTAGAATGTATCCTTCTAGACTGTTCTTTGCATGTACATGCATGTGAATACATGGTACGCGTATTATTCAGAGGCCAACTGTCTACTTGCCACAAATACTGTGGCAGCGCACGCACCAGCAGTAAATGAGAGGGTCTGTGTTGCGTCCCTTGCCAAATCTGGATGTATTCTATCAGTTTTTCTCCAATTTGGTAATAGAAGCCACTGGATGGTTCAGATCTATATTCCCCGGATATACTGTCTTTTGGGGTGGTTTTCCAGATACAAGCATCCTCCTCTCCATCCCGCCCCAGCACCCTGAGTTACAGACCTCCCCCTACTCCTTCCTCTGTCACCAGTGGAGGGCTATTTTACAGTGAGCTCTTTAACCCAACTGGAATTTATTTTTACATGCAATTATAAAGAGAATTCTTTTTTCCAACCAGATAACCAACTCTGCGTATTATGATCCTTCCTTGATTCTCCCAACTTAAATGCCATTTTGATCAGATATTAACTTCCTATACACACTCAGAATGTTTTCTGAACTTTCTATTACTTTTCACTGATCTGTCTTTGGGGCAGAGCCTTGATTATTGTAGCTTTGTGGTAAGTTTTAGCACCAGGGACCAAAATTCCCCCTCATTAAACTTAAAAAATTTTTATTAGCAATTTTTGCACATTTTCCTTCCACATTAATTTTTTTTCCTTCCACATTAATTTTAAAAACGCTTTTGCCATAGTTTAAAAAGTTCCTATAAGGAAACCATGTTCCTTGTGGGAACTTAATTAAATCTCTATGTAAGAAGGCTGAATATCTTTACATTACACATATTCCTATCCAGATATTTAGTCCAGTTGTTTGTTTTAGTCTTCTGGTATTTTTAAAAATCATTCTTCATTTGGATCTTCATCTTTCTTGTTAAATTTATTCCTAGATTTTGCTGTTTTTATCACTATTGTGTGTAGAATTTTTTATTTTTTTCTACTTTTAGCTGATTATTGCTGTTGGCTATTTGTAGATTTTATATCCAACCATTTTACTAAGTTCTCTTATTCTGATTTATTCTAATTTTTTTCATTGACTCTTAGATATTGTAGCTAGAGAATCATTGTCTCTTCTAGTTTTTATACTACAAATTTCACTTTGCTATTTTTTACATTAACTAGAAGCTCACTGGGGGGATCCACCAGCTTTATCCTGGTTATAATGACTTTTAATGGTTTTAATAATTTCCCACTTAACGTGGCATTTGCTCTCAGTGCCTCTTTCAGCTTTAGTATCGCTGAGAGCTCATTAGAAATGCAGAATCTAAAAAAAAAAAAAAAAATGCAGACTCTGAGGTCCTACTGACTGAACCAGAATCTGCATGTTAACAAGATCTGCCTGGTATTTCCCACATAAAGTTCAAGGAACACTGGTCTAGGTGATTTCTTTCTATCCCGATTTTGAGTTTAGTAAGAAAAGCTGTGGCTGCTGAATTCTACCAAACTTTTTGGCATCTATTGATCCCAAAAATTGGATTCCTCCTTAGTGGCTGCCATGCATTCTAGTGTCTGATACCCTAATTCTGGGCCAGCCCTGCACCCTACAGCAGGAGGCCACCTTTCAACCCCCCAAGCATTGTCCTCACCACTTACTTCCCCATCCATGTCTCGGGCTCCCCAAAGCATCTCCAGGTTTAGACGGGTATTCTCCGCTTGAGGTGCCAGGGCTGTGAGCAGCACACAGTGGGTGCTCAGAAGTCACGTGATTTTTTTTAAAAAATATATGGCCTAAAGGCTCCAATGCTTGCTTTCTTTTTTTTTTTTTTAATTTTTTTTTTTTTTTAATTTACGATAGTCACAGAGAGAGAGAGAGAGAGAGAGAGGCAGAGACACAGGCAGAGGGAGAAGCAGGCTCCATGCACCGGGAGCCCGACGTGGGATTCGATCCCGGGTCTCCAGGATCGCGCCCTGGGCCAAAGGCAGGCGCCAAACCGCTGCGCCACCCAGGGATCCCGAAGTCACGTGATTTAACTCGATCTGTCATCCTTGTATGGCTGAGCGGACGGGGGAGCCGGGGGTGGACTTCCTCCTCTCCATGCAGATGACTTTTTATCTTGTTGAGTCACAGACCTCTGAGAACCTGGACACCTTCCCAGGAAAACAGCCATTAATGGCTTTCCCTCCCTGCTTGTTGGGAAGCTCCTGGCTGTCCTTAAGCCCATGGTAAGACCCTTGCTCCCTGCTCTCCCAAAACCTTTGGCTGTGGGACATCCTACAGAAATCCCCACCAGCAGTACCCAGCTGGTACTGGGTATTCTGAGGCTTCACCACAAGCCAGGCGTTGTGCTGAACACCCACGGGGGCTCCACTGAGTCTACCCACAACTCCAGAGGGCAGATGGTACTGCCAACCCATTTTACAGATGGGGAAAACCCAATTTCCTCAAGAAACCAGAAACTCGGGATCCCTGGGTGGCGCAGCGGTTTGGCGCGTGCCTTTGGCTCAGGGCGCGATCCTGGAGACCCGAGATCGAATCCCGTATCGGGCTCCCGGTGCATGGAGCCTGCTTCTCCCTCTGCCTGTGTCTCTGCCTCTCTCTCTCTCTCTCTGTGTGACTATCATAAATAAATAAATTTTAAAAAAATTAAAAAAAAAAAAAGAAACCAGAAACTCCTTGATGGCAAGGTCTGATGTTTTATGGCTGGGGCCTGGACCAGCTAGAATGTCACTGTTGATTACGAGGCCTGGCTGGGAAGCTGCAGGGGCCTCCACGCCCTGTCCCCTAAGCCCCTTGCCTCTGCAGACAGTTCTGAATCTGGTTAAAATGGACCACAGCTGACTGGACCAGGGTGCCAGGTGGGACTCAGGGACATTCACACATAGCTCTATAGGCCATCCAGCAGTCTCTAGGGTGACCCAAGTGCTCTCTAGTCTGGGTGGCCCTCACCACACAGGACCAAGCTGACCCTCCTTTGGTGGGCAATAAAGTTAGGGACAGAAGGAGCACGCAGATGACAGGGAGGAGGAGTGGGGCAGAGCTGAAAGGCTACCGACAAAAGGAGGAAGTAGAGGGCAGGGAGGAGGGGAGAGAAACTTCTGGTAAAACAGCCCCATGAGAAGTGGGTCACATCTCAGAGGGGCCACACAACATGAGCAGCAAACAGACCCTGGCCAGACCTGCCTTCATGCAAACAGCATCTCAGAGGGGGGGCAGCCTCAGGAGCCCCCAGAGCCCAGCTGGGGACCAATGTGCCACTCGCACTGAAAGTGAGCCAGAAGTAGCGACGTGAAGCCCTGCCCAAGGGGTTGCTTTTTGTTTATTGACCAGACACAGTGGCCTTGGTTTCTGGACATAGTCAGCATGAGAGTGCCTGTCTCCTGGGATGGGGCAGGGGTCCAGAATGATCGGCCAGGAGCTACCAAGGAGAGAAGACGCCACTCAACTCCTCCACAGGGAAGAAGAAACACCAGCAGCTTTGCCCTACAATCACCAGGCAGGTAGAGGAGGCTGGAGTTTGCAAGGTCCTTCCAGATGGCTCCAAGGACAAAGGGAGCTCTGGTCCCTTTGATGGTCTCCCGGGTGTAAGGTAAAGGCAAGGGCTACAGAGCCCAGCCAGCACAGTCCCAGAAAGAGTTTAGGGGGATGCACAGAGGCCCAGGAGCTCTGGTGTGCCCCCATCCCACAATGAGCCTGGGCTCTGGGGCCAGTTCAGGTGAGGACACTGCCTGAGGCCACCTGTAGCGGCGGAGGCCTAGCTATGGGTGTGTTAAGGGTGACAAATCCCACCTTCTTCTGGCCCTGGGTTCCCTCTGTAGGCAACAGATAGCCACCAGCAGGGATCAAAGTCCACAGAAACAGTGTGTCCAGGTTGGGTGTCCTTGTGCGTCCTGGCATCTCCAAAGGAGCCAGCAGCTCTCAGGGGAGGTAGAGTGCCACCACCACATAGATGACCCAGCTGGTGGACACAAAGACCCCGAAGAGCAGACTGAAGAGCACGAGTGAGCGGGCCTTCCGGGAAGCCTCCTCAGCCTGGGCCAGGTCCCCCCGGCTCAGGGCAGCACGGGTCTGCAACGAGACGGAGGCAGGGAGTGGACATGGAGCTCCCCCAACTCCCACACACCACCAACAGCGCTGGGGCCCGGTGCACAGCCTGGAATGCTGGCACCCTGAGATGCTCAGGACCTGCCCGGGGCCACCATGTATGAAGGAGGCCACGGCTGCCAGCTCTGGGGCACCTACCTTGGGCCCGGCACAGAACCATGCCCTTGGCCTCACCTACAGCCCTCACAACAATCCTAAGACTGGGGTCCCTGTTGCCTCCACTTTGCAGATGAGAAAACAAAGGCCCAGTGAAGGGCCCCACCCAGGGCCCCACAGCTAGTGGTGGAGCCAGAACTCAGAGGCAGGCAGGCAGTGGCCTCCAGACTCCCACCTCTGAGCAGTCATGAGAGCTGCCTTCTCCACAGCATCCCGGCTTTATGATGGAGGAGCCTGACCAGTGCGGGGAAGTCAGGGCCACAGCCAGGTCTGCTTTGGGCAGAAGCCCCCAGGGGCCTGCCTACTCTGTTTATTGGGACGTCTTCACAGTGGCATCACTTGGTCCCCAGGGACCAACCCCATGCCTGGGAATGGTCAGGAATATCAGGAGGAAGGAAGGAAGCTATGCAGGGGATGGATGGATGGATGGATGGACGGACAGGACAGACGGACAGGGGTGGATAGACAAGGAAAGATGGATGCGTGAGTTATTAGATAATAGAGGGGTGGGTGGAAGAGTGGATGGACAGATGGAGGGATGAAAGGAGGCTAGGGAGGTAGTCAGCGGATGGACGGTGGGTAGACAGGTGGGTAGCTAGATGGCTAGAAGGAATGCGTGCACGGACAGTCTCTACCCCATTAAACACAAGTCCCCACTGAGGCAGGCAGTTCCTTGGGCCTTATCAATCATTCACACCTTTGTTGTAAATTGGTTTAGCCAAATGTTCTGGAGTAGATCTCCAGTGGTACGGAGCAGACAGGAGAGGGGAGGAGTGGCCATCCAAGAGGGCTCCCCGGACAACTGAGCACTGATGCCCCAGTTCCTGGCACCCTCCTGAGATCCCCAGGGGCTGGGACAGGGGCTGTGTGGCCCCCCACCTACCTCGTGGGAGTAGACGATCGCAATGAGCCCCGTGAGCAGGCAGCAGAAGAGGGTCACCAGCACGGACTCCATCATGTAGTCCTTGGGCAGGGGCCTGTGCTCCACCGCGGTGGGGGCTGGCAAGCCAGCCACGGGGCTGTTGTACTGCGGGGACAGAGGTCACCACACTGCGGTGAGGACACAGCCAACCAGGGCCATGGAAGGGTCCCTCTGTGCACTCCCCCACACCTGGCTCCCACCCAGTGAGGCTGTGGGTCACTGAGAGGTCAGGTCGGGGCCCCCCTTCAGCCCTCTTGCTGTGCCCCCCACCTGTCACCAGCCCCTAGGGGTCTTCTCACTTCTGGCCTCTACAAACTGCTCATCTCCATATCTCCCTGCCCTGACTGGGCTCCCATGGGGTGAGGGGGCCTCTAAGCTCTTCCCCACAAGCACCCAGGGGCCTTTCAGTGTTTCTAAAAATCTAATCAAGTCATCTCCCACCCAAAGGCGCTGAGGCCCTCACCACAGACCTCCTATCCTGCCCTCCTAAGCTGACCCCCACTACCCCCAGGCCTGTGCCCAGAGCGCCCCTCCTCCTCTTCATCTGAAGGCTCCTCCTCATCCCTCAGAACTCAGCTCAAATGCCCCCACCTCTGGGAAGCCTTCCAGGCTTGCCCTCTCCCCAGACTGTGGAAACCTTTCCCTTTCCTCATCTGGGCCCCGCAGCCCAGCTTGTGGTCACCTTTCATCATGTGTGCCAAGCTCTCCCCTGGGCAGGGCGGCAGTGGCGAGTGGGGGCAGCGAGGGGGGCCGCGTGGGAAGTGGGCGTGGTGCAGGGGGGCCCCACTCACCACCGGGAAGGGTGTGAAGAGCGGCGGCGCGGCAGGTGCTGGGTACAGGGGCGCGGCCGTCGACGGCGGGTACAGGGCCTGGGGCGAGGGCCCGGGCTGGAAGAGGACAGGCCCCTGCGGGAAGGGCGGGTAGAGCAGGTGCACGGCCTTGGGGTCGGGCGGCGCGTAGGGCGGGGGCTCGCCCACGAAGCCGATGTTGGGCACCCCGCCAGCTGCCGCCTTGGGCCCCTGCGGGGCCTCGCCTGTAGCCTGGGTCTGGGGAGCGGACGAGGCCGCGGCCTCGGCCTGGGCATCTGCCGGCGGGTCCTCGGGGGCCGGGGAGCTGCCCCCACCCGCGGCCACTTCCTCCCTGGGCCCTCCGTCCTCATCCAGGAGCTGCGGGCGCTGCGGGAGCTGCGGGAGCGCAGGGCTCCGGGAGTCCTCGGGGGATGCGGGGCCGCCGCCTCCTTTTGCGTCTGCTCCTGGGAAGACAGGCCAGGTGCCGTGAGCCCCCAAGCACCACGGACCCAGTGGGACCCCTCCCCCACCCCCAGCTACAAATCACAGCCCCTCCAGGGAGAAAGTCCCAACACCGCTGCCAGTCCCCACTCTTCCCAGGGGGAGGCTGCACTCAGGTCTCTCCCCACTGGGTGTTGGAAGAATCTACCCAAAGTATAGGGGTAGGAGGGGAAAACAGGTGCCGAGGGGAAGGTGCTAGCTGGCAGTCATGCAGCCAAAGCATCCCCAGGCTGGGACGGAACACAGGCCTGACCTTGGGTCCAAGGCTGCCACTGGGGAGCAGTCCTGCCCCCCGCCCTGTCGCTGGTAGACTGGACAGGGAAGGGTGTGTCCAGGGCAACCCCTGAGAGCCGATCTGAGGAGACGATCTGAGCCAGACTCCTGGCTTGGGAGGCAGGGAAGATGGGGTGCTCCAGAGTAGCCGGACCCTGGCTAATGGACTGACCTCAAAGAACCAGGAAGTCACCAAGGGCCAAATGCCAGCTGAGGCATAGAGGGGACAGAAGCCCGAATGGGGGTGGGGAAGAGGCAGAGAGCAGAGCAGTAGGTGGGGAAAAGTCCACTAGCAGTGGAAACTGAGAGCTCAGAGGCCCTCGATTGCCTGGCTGCCCATCAGCCCTGGCCCCGGCCATCAGCACCCCTGGGATAAACTCCTGTGGAAACCATAAAGGGAAAGCTCACTAAGGTGGCAGCAGGATGCCAGATGAGAGAACTGCTCACCCCCCACGTCAATTCCAGGAAGAACTGTTAGTTACAGACCCCAGCAGGCACGCCTGCAACAGAAGAGGAAGAGGACTACAGACCCAACAGTGAGGATGGATGTTGCATCTCCTACAAGGAATCCGCCCTGAGCTCCTGCTTTTCTCCAGTGGCCTTCGGTTCAGGACAGCCCTTCCCAACATCTCTTCCTTCTCCACAAAATAACACTCCTCTCCTTCCTTTGTTGGATTTGCCTGGGGTTTGCCGTAGCTTGCATTTCCCAAATTGCAATTGTCTGCTATTCCCAAACAAACCCACGTGTGCTGGCAAAATAACGGACTTCTATTTTTTAGGGTGTCACTCCAGAGGTACCCAAACAGGTTCTCCAAGTCTTTTTTTTTTTTTATGATAGTCACAGAGAGAGAGAGAGAGAGAGGCAGAGACACAGGCAGAGGGAGAAGCAGGCTCCATGCCCCGGGAGCCCGACGTGGGATTCGATCCCGGGTCTCCAGGATCGCGCCCTGGGCCAAAGGCAGGCGCCAAACCGCTGCGCCACCCAGGGATCCCAAGGTTCTCCAAGTCTTGAAGGGACCCTGCACCTCCCGAGAGCACCCTGGCCAGCTGAGTACCCCTAAGTATCAGGAAGGGCCTGTAGGAGAAACCCTGGTAGGTATACAAGGCTCCACAGTAGAGTGGGTGGCCCAGGGCCTGGCTTTAGAGGTTTATTTCCCAAATGTCCTTAAAGGTTACAGGAGGCAGAGAGAGAAGCAGAACAGCTGGAGCAGCAACAGCTCAGGAGAGGTGGTAGGAGCCCTGCTGAGATAGCCCACCAGTCCCAGGAGGCCTTGGAGGGACTGAGTTAGAGGCCAGGGATCCTCAGAGAAGGGATCCCCAACAGCAAGGAGTGCTGAACTCCTGAGAACTCCCCACCCACCCACTCCCAGCAGCCAGGGTGTCACTCACAGGCCTGCGGTGGGGTTCATGCCTCCATACCCTCACCCATGCCCACCTGCTATCTCCGTACTACCTGAATCTGGACGGGACACGTGACATGCTTTGGCCAACAGAATGCCAATAAACATCTCCCGGGGGTGCCTGGGTGGCTCAGTCAGTTCAGTATCTGACTCTTGATTTTGGCTCAGGTCATGATCTCAGGGGTCCCCCTGCTCATTAGCCCTGCCACCTGTCCACCTGGTGCAGCGCCCCCTCTTCCTCAGTCCCTCCTGAGCTTCCAGCATAAGGGGGCCAGTTTTGGATCATGCCAGAGTGGCTCCCAAGGAGCAAACAAACCAGCACCTAGAAAGGAAGGAGCTGCAGAGGGGATCCCCTACTTGTGTGAATCGGGGTGACCAATATATCTGTTTTCCCAGGGCTTTCTCAGATTTGCTACTAAAACTCTCATATCCTGGGAAAACCCTTAGTCTCAGATAAGCCAGGGTGATTAGTCACCCCAGACTGCATCCACACAGATCTTGGACTCTCCCCCTCCAAGCTGCATGTGTAGGCGACAGACCTAGACCAGCATAAAGGACAACCAAACCGGACCACCAAACCAGCCAGGAAGCAACTAACCAAAAGCAATAAGTACACACCTATCAATAATTAACCTAAATGTCAACGGGGAGGGGGGAGTCGGGGGGCACTGGCAGGCTCAGGTGGTTAAGCCTCTGCCTTAGTCTTGGGTCACGGTCCTGGGGTTGAGCCTCATGTTGAGCTTCACACTCAGTGAGGAACCTACTTCTCCCTCTCCCTCTGCCCTCTACCTCAATGCTCATGTGCTCTCACTCTCTCATTTCCTCTCGAATGAATAAAAAAATAAAATCTTAAAAAAATAATTAACTTAAATGTCAATGGCATAAATTCTCCAGTCAAAATACACTGAAAACCTGAAAGGGGAAAAAAAAGACCCATTTATATACTGCCTACAAGAGACTTGCTTAAGATGGACACACACACGCTGAAATTGGGATGGAAAAAGGTATTCCGTGCAAATGCAGACCCCAAAAAAGCTGGTGTAGCTGTATTTATATCAAACTAAACTTTAAAACAAAAACTGTGGGGCTCCAGGGAGGCTCCGTCAGTTAAGTGCCTGACTCTTGATTGTGGTTCAGGTCATGATCTCGGGGTCCTGGGATTGAGCCTCACAGTAGGCTCCATGCTAGGCATGGAGTCTGCTTGAGATTCTCATTCTCTCTCTCTCTCCCCGCCCCCCTTCACTTTTCCCCAATAAACACACACTCTCTCACACTCTCTAAAAATAATTAATCAACATAAAGACTACAATAAGAGACAAAGAAGGGTATTACATAATGATACAGAGGTCTGACACAAGGATATAGCAATTATGCTCCCAACGCAGGAGCACCTAAATATACAAGCAAATATCAACAGACCAAAAGGATGAAACAGACAGCAATATCACAATAGTATGGAACTTCAGTACTCACATACACCAGTGGATAGAGCATCCAGAGAGAAAATTAATATGGAAACATGAGCCTTCAACACGTCAGGCCAGATGGACTTAGATCTACACAGAACATTCCACCCAAACCCAGCAGAATACATACCACTCCCAAGTGCACAAGGCACATTCACCAGTATAGAACGTATGTTAGGCCACAAACAAGTCTCAATAAATCCAAGACTGAAATCTTACCAAAGATCTTCTTGAACCACAGTGGTACAAAAATAGAAAGCAACTGCAAGGAAAAAACTGGAAAATTCACAAAAGCGTGGACAATCAACAACCTGCTGCTGAACAACCAGTGAATCAAAGATGAAATCAAAAGGCAAATTTAAAAATACCTCGTGACAAGTGAATATGGAAATACAATGTCCCAAACTTCAGGGATGCAGCAAAAGCAGTTCTAGGGGAGAATTTTGAGGTAATAAATGCCTCAATAATAAAAAAATAAAAATAAAAATAAAAAAAACAAGAAAAATCTCTAATTAACCACCTGACTTTACACTTTAGGAAATTAGGAGAAAAGATGAAGAAATGAAGCCCAAGGTTAGGAGAAGGAAGGATACAACAAAGAAGAGAGTAGAAATAAGTAGACTAGAGACTAAAAAAACAAAAGATCAATGAAACTAAGAGCTAGTTCTTTGAAAAGATAAAACTGACAAACGTACAGCTAGACTCACAAAAGGAAAAAGAACTCAAAATCAAAAACAAAAGGCATTACAAAGATACCACAGAAACACAAAGGATCGTAAAGAGACCATGAACGCCAACAATC